ATGTAGCAAATGAAAAAAGAGACACAAAGTACGTATCACAACACAGGTTTAATTTCTTATGCAATTATAAAATTTGAACAGCAATGGGTTAGCAGTAAGAGCTGGATACTCGGTAGTGTGGAATGTTGTGAACAGATTTTTCCGTTTATTTATACAGACACTGAATACAAGCACTATCGTTTTAGCACTGTGGGATGAAGCTCCCTCCAGGTGAGGAAGAAAATCGGAAAGGGAAAGATTTGACTGGCTGGAGAGGGTTGAGAAAGACTGACTCCATTCAATTCAGGAGCAGGGGATTAGGATTTGATTTCCCACTCTAGCTACTCCCAGTTTCCCCACCCACCAATGAACCAATGTCTGTATAAAGGAAGGAAGGAATAATGTGTAGTTACTGCAACCATACAATCAACAGTATAGAGCCAAGACACTCACAATGGACAAGGAAAAGTAGCCAGAGTGAAGACCTGTTGTCTGCAATTTTACGGAGATGGATTGTGTCAGTTAAATATTAAAGATGCATAAATGAAAATTTGCTAAGTGCCTTCAATTGTGAAATTGCAATTTGAAGCGAGTTATTCACACACCAGGAGCCAGACTCTCTTGCTTGTGAGCACTTTCCCAAGTCGCATTAGCATCTTAAGAGTCTAATCTCCTTTCAACATATGGCGTAACTCCCAGAAATATGGAGAATTATGCTTGCACATCTAGAGAAGACACTTAAGCCTTGACCTCAAGTGCTAATAGGTTAAATTAAAACTTTTCTGCACTCTGTAAGTTGAGTTTTAACCATAAGGGGTAAACTTTCAAAGCAGTGCAGGATTTTTGAGCTGTGCAACTGCAGTGATTACAACCACAGACATTTCTTTGGAGGGTGGGAGAAGATTATCAGAGACCCGCAAATCCACAAATACCTGGAAATTTGCAGATACCCACGGATCATTTTTGCAGATGCAGATACCAATTTTGTATCTGCACAGAGCTCTAATGATTATTTCCCAGACAGTAGTAACTGGTCTGCATACAAAAGAAAAATATGCAGAGTAGCTGAGGTGACCCTCTAGGATAGAAATTCTAAAACCTTATTATTACATGTTATCTTTTGTGCAGATGACATATTAGAACCAAGAAAGCACCGGGTCAGTTTCCCCGTAAAAAAAATAAATTCTGCTGATCAGATTTACAATCCTAGGTCTCTGGCTGAATTAAGTGGTGGTAGTTTTCCAACTGGTCTCCCCTTATTATTTGTTATCAACTTCCCTTCAGCTGGAAACTCCTGTTGTTATACTTACAAAGTAGCTAAGGAAGCAGCCTGTGGTTTGTACTCCTACTGGTGTTTATTTACAATCTGAGGCAATTTAAAAAAAATGCTAAAACTTTTTCCTACTCCTTTATGGAAATTTAGTTCCGTTGGGTATTAGTCCTAAGAAATTCAACATCTAGGCCCCAATTCAGCAAGATGCTTAAGGTTGAGCCTAACTAATTTCATTAGCACTACTCACATGCTTTGGTGCATGGCTGAACTGGGATTTTAGAAAAAAGCAGCAGCTTTTACGAGCCTCCTGATGCTTCTTCACATGATTCTCCAATAGACTCCTCTTGGTCATGCTCAGTTACTTTTTAACTGCTAGATTTATCTACTGTGGGAGCAATGCTACGGGACAAGTTCAAAACAGGCAACATCTTCTGGTTCATAACAAAAAAAAAAAAAAAAAAAAGAGAAAAATCACAAGAACTGACCGATCCCAAAGCAGACGCAGAAAAAGCACACTAGATATTGAAATACACATTAACAGAGTATCTGAAGTGCTGCCCATCCTCTACCTACGATAATCAATGGGAACTAGTAACACTAGAATCTAGCAACATCTGAATTTAGAATTCCAAGTCTATACACATTTCTTCCCCCCTCCCTCCCAAGTACAGCATCTTTGGTTATACATTTTACCACCTACGGATCCTCTCCCCCAAAAGCTTGACTGTTAAAAATAAGCCTTTGATAAAAAAATGTAGGTGGAGTTATGGCTGAGGATATATTGCCCACTAGAATATTAATATGAACCCTAAGAAATACATTAAGGATTGAGGAAATTCACAGTTAAAAGGATTTACCACCAACTTCCCAGTGCAGCATAGGAATTCCAATAGTACACTCCTTAGTCATAGG